GGAAGCAACTTACCCTCCCTCTTCTCCTGCCTCCTCCTGGCTGAATGAAGGCCGGAAGCGGGGCGGTCGGAAGCAGGGGGCGGGGCTTCGTCATGTGCCCCGCCCCCGTACCTCACCCGGGGGAACTGCGATCCCCCGCGATCCCCCACGAAATGACCTCTGGTCCACATACTCCCACACACACGATCTCAGATGAGCTGGCAATTTGCGATGGGGGAAAGTACTCTTTAGATTAGGCTTCTCTCTTTCTTTTCGACTGCAACCCGAATGTGAATTGGGTCTACTTGAATAAATGTAAGTTTACCCCTTTTTTTTTGCAGTATACTTCTTGGGCTATTTATTTACTGCACTCAGGATCACGCTTCTATGACTGGGCAAACTCTGCCATATTAACCAAGTATCCCAATATGCAGAAGGTCCCAGGTTCAATCCCCGGCATCTCCAGTTCAAAGCATCATGTTGTAGATGATGTGAAAGACCTCTGCCTGAGACCCTGGAGAGCCGCTGCCAGTCTGAGTTGACAATACTGACCCTGATGGACCAGTGGTCTGATTCAGTATAAGGCAGCTTAGTGTATTCATGTGAATTCTTCGGCTTGGTGTAGTGGTTAAGAGCGGTGGACTGTAATCTGGAGAACCGGGTTTGATTTCACCCTCCTCCACATGCAGCCAGCTGGGTGACCTTGTGTCAGTCACAGTTCTCTCAGAGCTGTTCTCTCAGCCCCACCTACCTCACAGGATATCTGTTGTGGGAGAGGAAGGGATGGAGATTGTAAACTGCTCTCTCTTGAGTGAAAGGCGGGGTATAAATCCAATCTCCTCCTCCTCCTCTTCTTCCTCTTCCTCCTCCTCAGGGCTGTGGAGCAAAGAGAGACCTCTCTCTTCTCAGAGGGTTTTGGGGAGGATGATCAACACACACACCCCGACTATCACAAGTTCTCTTCTCTTTCAATTCAGTGTTTTAAGGCGGATAGATCAAGATGGGTAGCCGTGTGCAATGCTCCCTCTAAGCTGTGGAGTCTTGTGAGCAAAAATTCTACTTGGCAAGCTACCGGCATTCAAGTTGTGAGCGAGCGATTTGGCTACTGCGTAAATTAGTTTGCTCTGGAGCCCTCCTTCCTGAGCTGAGACAAAAACGTGTGAGCCGGAGGCTAAAAGACTGTGAGCTAGCTCACCCTGACTCAGCTTAGAGGGAACCCTGGCCGTGCTAGTTTGTAGCAGTAGAAAAGAGCAAGAGCCCAGTACCACCTTAAAGACTAACAAAATTTGTGGCAGGGTAGGAGTTTGTGAGTCACTGCTCACTTCTCCAGATAAGGGGGGGGGATAACAACCAGTAGCAGACAGAGTGCTAGAGTAGGACTCTGGGCGACCTGGGTTCGAATTCCTATTTCTGCCACGTAAGCTCGCCAGGTGACTTTGGGCCCATCACGAACTCTTTGCCTGGCCTACCTCACAGGGTTGTGAGAGAACAGAGGAGGGGAGAAATATGTCCCAAGCGGCTTTGAATCCCAACAGGGGAGAAAAGCAGGATATAAATAAATAAATCGACATGAGGGCTGAGGGCCTCAACAGTTCTCCTTTCTTTTCATGCAGGGAACAATCCAGACCCCCAGCAGCCTTAAATGCGGTAAGTGATAGAGGATGGGGAGGGGTGTAATCAGGGGAAGGGGGGTGGCCAAGGCTCCAGAGCAATAGAGGGTGGGGAGGGGTGTAATCAGGGGAAGGGGGGTGGCCAAGGCTCCAGAGCAATAGAGGGTGGGGAGGGGTGTAATCAGGGGAAGGGGGGTGGCCAAGGCTCCAGAGCAAGATACCAGCTGCAATTGTCACATTAAGGGCAAAATCCTTCTTCTCATCCCTCTGCCCCAGCCTTAAGCAGTCCTTTCCAGAAATGAAATGGTCACAGGGAGATGGAAGTCAGGAATTTCCAGATGAAGGAGATCAGAGACCTCTTCCCCTCTGAGCTTATGGAACGCACTGCTGCAGGATTTAGCAGTTAGGCAAGTGGCTGTTAAAAGGAGGACCCGATTGGCCTCTTACCTGATCAGAAGGGAGGGGCTGTGGCTCAGTAGAGCATCCACTTGGCATGCAGAAGGGCCCAGATTCGATCCCCAGCATCTCCAATTAGAAGGACCAGGCAGGGGGTGATGGGAAAGACAGTCTGAGACCCTGGGGAACTGCCGCCAGTCTGAGTAGACAATACAGACTTTGATGGACCAGCAATCTGATTCAGTATAAGGCAGTTTCATGGGTTCATGAACCTGGAAGTGGGCCTGTCCATATAAGGACATATAAGGCCTATAAAAGCCTTCAGCGCCCACTCTAGGAGCTCAGTTGAGTCGGGCTGCCCAATTTGACTGAGCTTACTCTTGGAGCCCACTACTGGCTTGCGGCCCCACCTGTGTGAGCTTCAAATGAAGGTTGAAGGGTTCAAAGAACGACACGACACAAACAGCTCTGCAGAAATCTGTATGAAGTGTTCTCACTTCACAGCCTTTTATCAAGAATCTCTTCCCCCCTTTCTTTTTCGGAAAGTTACAAGCATAGCTATGATATCAGGAATGTGTGTTCTGCAGACAGCCTCACTGTCTTATCTCTTCCCGTCTCTCTGCCAAGTATATCTTCTCACGTTGAAGTCAGCAGATGTTTACCTTGTGCAATTAGCACTCTGGCTCTCTGGTTCCCAATGTCCCTGCGGGAGCAGTGAATCTCCGGGCTTGCCACACAGAGAAAACTGTCCCTCCATTCAAAGGCATTTAAATGCCTTCAGAGCTCACATGGGTGGGGCCACAACCTGGTAGTGGACTCCGATTGCATTTAAATGCCTTCGGAGCTCAATTCTGGGTGGCCCGCCAGACCTGGAAGTAAGCTCTGAAGGCATTTAAATGACTCTGGAGCCCAAGAACATATCTCCCATGAACCTCCATGAAAAACATGGAGGTTCGTGGGCGGATCGTGGGAGACACGTTCTCCTGAACCTCTGGTTTGCGAACCACAAACCAACCTGGTTCGTGCTTGAACCGTGGCTCGTTTTTGGGTTCGTGCCCATCCCTAGTGATGACTCCTGGAGTAAGCAAGGGGACTATTCCTTACATGCAGCAGGAAAGGGATTTACCATCCTAACGGTGCATACAACTGTGTTTCAGGAAGAAGCTTCAGTCCAAGAGTTCCTCGCCTTCTCCCTCTGCTGGGGCTGCTGCCTCTGCTCTTGTGCCATGGGGTAGAGAGGTGGGCTGAGATCCCACCAGAGTGACCAGACTCCTGCCCATCAGAACTTGACTCCTGGAGTTGCGTCACCTGAGCGTCACCCCACTCAGGTTCTCTCTCTCTCTGTCTTAACTCTGTAGCGTGATCCCTCTCACCATCGACACCACAGAAATGGCAGCTCTCCAGGTTCAAGACGGAAGAAGCAAAGAGGACCCGTGTCTCTCCTGGACCCCCTCTCTCTTCTGGATTCAGCAGCTGCCTTTCTGAGGGCATCACCTCCTCTATGCTCTTGGGAACTAGGCCACCAAGAGATCAAGCTGCAGAGACCTTAGCTGGACTTCAAGATTTCTTTCTGGCAAGGCCAGACCAAAGATACGTTGGTATCAGGAGGTGGAATTATTCAACCGGATCCCTCCGGTGCGGGACTGAATTTGTATTTAACTCAGGAATCTGACAAAGAGAGCTTCGGCTCTCAAAAGCATATACCCCAGACTTCCTGCCGTTCTCTAAGGTGCTACTGGAATCGAATCTAGCTGAATCGTATTTAAATCACAAAATGGGACAGAAAACTAGCCTCCTCCCTGATATTGAGAAAGTGGCATCCCCTTGATACGAAAGGGAAATGACATCTCTTCTAAGCCCTCATGTAACTTTACTTTCCCATGGAGTCTCCATCCAACATGAGAATGAGATGGCTTATGGAAAAGTGAAAAGTTTGCGTAATTACGCCGAAGGATCTGCACATGAAGATCTCCTTTGGTGTGTTCTGGCTATACTTATCCACACCAGAGGAAATCTTCCTCTTCTGTGCATTCGAATTCTTAGATTGTGTTTGCTTTTTACCCAGTGTCGCGGGCAGTGGCTAGAAAGGTTCTCTAATGGCTGCCACCACTCTGGTATGGGCCTCTTCTGGAGGCTCATACCCCCAGGGGTCATTTCCTGCAGGAGCGCACGGGAGCGGAGCTCCAGCAGTAAAGAGCCCAGGGGGCAGGCACATGCAACAAGCCCCACCCCCTGCTCCCAGCAGCCCTCAGTCAGAGCAAGAAGCAGCCAGGTAAGTTGCAGAGCCCCCCCTGGTCCCCGGTCCAAAACAGTCCAGTGGCACCTTTAAGACCCAAGTTTTATTCAGGGACAAGCTCTCCCTCCTCTGCGAGGACAGATCTGCATGTCCATTCCTCCCCCCTCAATAGCTAGCAATCCAAAACAGTCCAGTGGAGCCCGAGCGGTGGCTGTTGCCTTCTGACACACTTCATAATAATAATAAGTTATGCTAATGAGTTACGCTAATGAGCTCCTGCACCTCTTTTTCTACGAAATGACCCCTGGCCACAAGGGATAGATGGAACACCGTGTCTCTCTGGGGCAGTGATGCTCTGTATTCTTCGTGCTTGGGGGGGGCAACAGTGGAAGGGCTGATGGAGTTCTGGCCCCACTGGTGGACCTCCTGATGGCACCTGGGTTTTGGTCACTGTGTGACACAGAGTGTTGGACTGGATGGGCCATTGGCCAGATGCAATATGGCTTCTCATATGTTCTTATGTCTGTGGCAGTGATGCTCTGTATTCTTGGTGCTTGAGGGGCAACAGTGGGAGGGCTTCAGAGTTCCGGCCCCACTGGTGGACTTCCTGATGGCACCTGGGTTTTGGCCGCTGTGTGACACAGAATGTTGGACTGGATGGGCTATTGGCCTGATCCTACATGGCTTCTTTTCTGTGCCTATTTGTGGGGCAGTGATGCCCTGTATTCTTGGTGCTTGAGGGTCAACAGTGGGAGGGCTTCTGGAGTTCTGGCCCCACTGGTGGACCTCCTGATGGCACCTGGGTTTTGGCCACTGTGTGAAATGGGAGTGTTGGGACTGGATGGGCCGCTAGCCTGATCCAACATGCCGTCTCTTATGTTCTTGTGTTCTTAGTCACTATCTCAGGCTAGAATAACCAATTCAAGATCCCTGTGGACGAACTGCTTCTGCCGGGTTTGTTTTACCCACCTCCTTTACGGTTTGGGCAGCCCCTCCCAATATCATAAATTGCCATCATTATTATTGGCTGGAATCTTTCTGTATCTAAACCATCGTTCTTATAAATTAAATGTTGGCTTTCGTTTTGTGTGTGTCCATTGTTATTCCAAATTACCAGGAAATATGATCCAGGCGTGTCTTTCAAGAGCAGCGAACCAAGCACGTGATCTTGCATCAGTATGTTGGCAATAGGAGCCGCCTAATCAGGTAGTTCCCAGAGGTGGAATAATAGCTGATCTGGGTGGTCTGTTGCCGTTCCCACAATGGGCATTTTGCCCTTAATACCTCCCAAGTGGCCAGGGGCAGCGGCAGTCTCAGCTTCTTTGTAGGTCTGCCTGTTCCAGTCATCTCCTTTGAGACGTGTGTAGCTAATAAGAAGCAGTGAAAAACTCCCTTGCAAAACCCAGGCCCCACAGCTGGGCTTTCAGACCTGAGAGGGACTATATTCAATCTCCCATCAGCAGACTAGTCCCACGTCCCTTGAGACTTCGTTAAAGAAAGGCACCGCTAAAAGTGCCTTAAACAAATAAAGACCTTGTGGGAGAGAAGCTATTTACGAGCCAGCCTTCTGGGGGCACGGCCGCTTGGGTCGACATCCGGTTGTTTTTGAGTCCAGCGCTCGAGTTATTGGTCCCAACGGGGATATTTAGAACAATCCCAGGAGGTCTGGGGAGAAGAAGAAATCACTGTGATTTTGATAATAATACGGGGAGAATCGCACCTGTGACCTCCCGGTGTTTCTGCACGATTCCTTGGGGACGTGTAGCCTTGGGAGGAGAAATGTTTACATGAATTCACTAATGCAGGTTCATACTCTGATTTGTGTCAAGCAAGCGGGAAGGGCCTGAACTTTAGCAAAGAAAAAGTTAATCGGAGTCCGGATCACAACAGGCTCCCTTCACGCCCAAGGGAGATTAATTGCCTCCGAACAGCCGAAGGTGCTTTCTGCTGGATCAGGCAGGTCATCACACAAGAAGCTGTGCTTCTCTTTACTCGGGGATCCTTTGATAGAAAAGGAAGGGAGAGAGTCATAAAGGTAAAGGTTCCCTTGCTCGAAAGCCAGTCGAGTCCGACTCTAGGGTTGTGGTGTTCATCTCCGTTTCAAAGCCGAAGAGCCAGCGCTGTCTGAAGACGTTTCCTTGGTCATGTGACCGGCATGACTAAACACCAAGGCGCAGGGAACGCTGTTACCTTCCCACCAAAGTGGTACCTATTTATCTACTTGCAATTTCTTGCTTTCGAACGGCTAGGTTGGCAGGAGCTGGAACTAGAGATGGGAGCTCACGTGGCAACCCAGGTCTTGGTGGAGTCATGGTGGAGGATTATTTAGCTTTCATGGATATATTTGATACAGCCAAACAAAACTTAGCAGAGAACTCTCATTCATTCAGACATGCTCCCTATGCACATGATGTAAGTTTGGTGTGGTGGTTAGGAGCACGCACTCTTAATTTGGGAGAACCAGGTCTGATTCCCCACTCCTCCACATGCAGCTGATGGGTGACCTTGGGCAAGCCACAGTTCTGTTATGTCCTGGCCCCGGCACGGATTGACCCAGCTTGAAACCCAGAACAGTAGATAGCTAGGATCCTGGAAGGAACCTATAGACCAGGAGTCACACTGTAAATAGCCTATCACGGGTAGCGGATGTATGTGGGGCGTGATGTTGTGCACGGATTTAAGCAGGGCTTAGAGTGGTCTTAGTTTGAGCTGATTCACAAATAAAGCATGAGCTGATTACCACACGCCTCTCGAACCCAGTACATTTCAGTTCTCTCAGAGCTCTTTTCTCAAGAGTTCTTTCAGAGCTCTCTCAGCCCCACCTACTTCACAGGCGAGAGGAAGGGAAGAAGACTGTAAGCCACTCTGAGACTCCAAGTGAAGGGCGGGATATAAGTCCTATTATTATTATTAGCCGAAGATGGTAGAAGGCCGATGGAATTCCAAACGAGGCCACGTCATCAATCTACACAGGGGCATGACAATATTGGCCGTTTTCCTCTCAGTCCCTTTCCTAATAATCCCTAGCACAGAGTCCGCTTTTTTTTACCGCTGCAGCACACTGGGTTGACTTTCCTATGACCCCATTTCCCCTCTCAGTCTAGGGCAGGGTTGCCAGGTCTGGGTTGGAAAATACCTGGAGACTTTGGGGGTGGATCCGGGAGAGGGCAGGGTTAAGGGGAGGGGCCTCAGCATGGCATAATGCCATAGAGTCCACCCTTCAAAGCAGCCATTTTCTCCAGGGGAGCTGATCTCTGTCAGCGAGTTGTAAAAGCGGGAGATCCGCAGGCCCCACCTGGAGGCTGGCAACCCTAGCCTAGGGTTACCAGCCCTGAGTTGGGAAATAGTTCTGGGGTGGTGATCAATGCTCCCTCTAAGCTGTGGAGTCGTGTGAGCAGAAATTATACTTTGGGAACTACTGGCATTAAAGTTGTGAGTGAGTGATTTGGCTACTGCATGAATCAGTTTGTTCTGGAGCCATAGAGGAGTAGAAGGCCATAGAGCCCACCCTTCAAAGCAGCCATTTCCTCCAGGGGAATTGACCTTTGTTATCTGGGGGATCAGTCGTACTAGCAGGAGATCTCCAGGCCCCACCTGGAGACTGGCAACCCTATCTCAGTCTCAGCAAGTTCAGATCACATCAGCCTATAGGTGGAAGTTGGGGATTTTTTGTCCCAGTGTGTACACCCTCTAAAGCAGCCATTTTCTCCAGAGGAATCGATCTCTGTCGCCTGGAGACGAGTCATAAATCAGTGTTCCCTCTAAGCTGAGTGTGTGTGAGCTAGCTCACGGGTGTTTAGCCTCCGGCTCACACATTTTTATCTTCGCTCAGGAAGGACGGCTCCAGAGCAAACGAATTTATGCGGCAGGTAGCCAAATCAGTCGCTCACGATTTTAATGCCAGTAGCTCACAAAGTAGAATTTTTGCTCACAAGACTCCACAGCTTAAAGGGAGCATTGGTCATCATTCCAGGAGATTTCCAGGCCCTGCCTGGAGCTTGGCCGAAGGACGAGGGGTCCGGCGCGGCGATCAGCACGTCGTCTAGAAACGGCTGAACTCGGGGATGCCTTTAAGGAGGGAATCCATAAAAGATTGAAAGATTCCTGGCACGACTGAGACCCCGAACTGGAGGCGGTGCACCCTGAACGCCCCCTTGTGGGTCGAAATGGTCTGTGCCTCGGCCGTGGCGGCGTCCACCGGTAGCTGCT